AAATGCTCCCCCCCCCCGCTGCCTCCCACTGCCCGCCCCACCAGTGGCAACTATGAACAAAGAGGCGGTGCGATTCGAGGTTAAAACTTTTCTTGAAGAGGTCATGCGCTATTTGAGATACATCAGCGCAAAAGCTGATTATGATGTTTGTGCAGTAGCCCATAATGAGTACTCACTTCTGAAACACAGTTCGTAATGAACGTGAGGCTGCTCCAATGGAAGTAGTAGTGTGAGATATATCTAGCATTGCACGTACTTAACTGGTAGCAAGAGGATCAGAACTCAGGAATGGCTCCTAACTGAACTGCTGTTGTCTGAGGGTGATGTTTTATGGTTCTCACCTGCCCTGCAGAAAAGGACGCCGAGCTCCCATGTCCGAAGCGTGACAGCTTCATCGGTACCACATTTAGAAAAAGTTTTAATTTCGAAAGGTCGAAACTGGCTTCTTATAAAACACATCAACGATTGCCGAATCATGGCATCGCGTTCACACGAGCATAAATAATCGTTCTGTCAATTTTCATGACATGAAGACATATTTAAAAGAATTATGAACAAATTTGGTTTTTGCAAAATTAATGAACAGAATTATGAACAAATTAGGTTGCTTACGGAGCACAGTGAATTATCCTGTTTCCAACGAGTTGTTAGAGCCTCAGGAATGTTTCTGTTGATCCAAAACACCAACAAAGCTGAGCAGTCATAAATCGCTGCAATTAAATTACACCGCCGGAGCTCAAGTCAAAAATTGCAACATCAAATTAATTCGACGCATTCCCTCAAGATTTGATGGCATGCATGTTTTCCTCAACGCCGATTAATAAAGCCCTTCACTCATCGATGCTACGAGACAATTTTAAATGGACTGACTCCACTGGTTCCTCTTCATAGACTATATTAATCGTAGACTAATTCGTTTTGATATCATTTTCTTTAATCATTTCGCGGCATTACGCGGCAGGATAAAGCAGGAAAGTTGCAACAGTGCGCTGGATTCCTTGAAAGCCGTGGATGCGTCAGAAAAGATTGGGAAACCAGAGAAAAAAGAACGCTGCGAAAACGGAATGTCGAGACGAAAGAGAAGAGTCGGTAAAGGCGAAGAGAGGAGTCAAATGTGAAGAAGAAGAAACAAAGGAAAACGGGAAAGAGATGAAGGATGTGCGTACAGGCGGAGGAAGAAGAAAGAGATAAAGTTGGGGATTAGAGTAGAAAAAGCATGCCAGAGGAAATGTGAAGGAGGTTCGACAAGAACACTGTACTGTCCCGTCATTTTCATAGATTTGTTCTTGGATCATGACTTCCATATCGAAGCTGAAGATCAGTTTCAGAAGATACTAATAAAACATGGTCGTCTTACCTTCTCGACTTCACATCTTTTACGCTGATATGATCACCGCCTTGTCTGCATCTGACTATTTCATCCATGTGCAACACAAACAGGATAGGGGACAGGGCGCAGCCTTGGCGGAGACCAGTGCGAACGTTGAACGGTTTCGACTTAACGCCATTAACTCTGACACAGCACCTGCTATCAGAATACATTGATTGGATGGCCCGTAGAAACTGCCACCTACACCTATGCTCGGAGGCGTGACCATAGGCTGTTGCGTGGGATCCTGCCATAGGCTTTTTATAGCTCAACAAAACGCATGCACACCGGATGGGAGAACTCCCACGATTTCTCAGCAGTCTGGCGAAGGCAAATACATGATCAGAAGTCGTTCGACCGGGCCGGAAGCCACACTGCTCTTATCGTGTCTTGGAATAAGTTATTCAGCGGCATTTCCATTGTAGCACCCTTGGGCAGACCTCTCTCTGGAGGCTCAGTAAGACAATGCGCTGATAAATGGAACATTTCCCATAGTCTTCCTTTCTGAACTGGGGTACTACAAAGCCAGTTCTCCAGCTTGCTGGTGTCCTCGCCATAGCCACTGCAGTTTCATGCGCATGTCAAACTCTGTCCATCGATGATAATGTTTCCCGTTTGATTCTCCGGTTGCTTCTGCCACCAGATCTTCGTAC